GGAAATGCTCTTAAGCTTAAGTTTATCGATTTTGGAAGGGTTGGTGGCTGAAGAGTTGGATTGTCTTGCCATGTACAGTATCCGATAGAAGCCTTACAGGCCCTAGCCGGTAAACTCTGAACCCCGTACAGCCTCAATAGCCCTAAACCACTGTATGCGGATGGGGTCAACGAGTCGGTGGCTGAAATGTTTTCGGACTTTAGTGTCGCTTGTTCCGACCGAACCCGTACCCAAATATTGCCTATATAACCCTAAACCCCATGATATAACCCTAAACCCCGTGAGCCCTAATTAATCTTTGGTGGCTGAAACGTTTAGGCTGTCTTGTCACATCCTGACATCATAATAAATTACAGGGTCCAAGTATCATCCTGATATACTTATAGGGTATTTTGGGGGTCTAAGTATGTCCCAGGATGATACTTGGACCCTTTGGGTTGCAACCCATTCTAATTAATAAGCCCCCCGCTAAACCGTAAATAGCTCTCAGTCGCTCTACTTGGACTTTGAAGGATGATGAGGTGTTTGGTGAGCCGTTAGCGGACTACATATGTATATATAATCTGCGACCACGACCACGACAACACGTGCTCCTGCTGCTTCTGCTGCTGCTCCCAATGCTACTATCCGGCATAGCCGTACCACCACGGCTATTCGAACGACTACAAGCTTGCAGTACCAGTCGTCGTCGTGGGAGTAGTAGCATGCAGTAGCAGGAGTGGTAGTAGCTAGGTCGCTACTACTACTAGTACTAGTGCCGTGCTCAGCACTTATCGGAAGCTGTTAAGGAGTCCCAGAGCATTGGATAACCCTAAATAAAGTAAGCAGGGTTCTCGAAATTTTATCATCGCTAGCTGGTGAGTGTACAGGGCTTGTGGATATATTTCTAGTTCAGGCTTGTCCTCGGATGATTTTTTAATTTGTGATTACAGGCAGAAGACCTTAGAAGTGCTAGGCCAGCTGGGTTTTCGGGTGTGAAGTTGCTCAGTTGAGGTTACTTTCTGCGTAGCCGGGATTCACGATTGAGGTCTTGCTAATTTTGCTACTGAACAGTCAAAGCCCGATAAACCCAAAAGGCGAAGTCGAAACGGCGAGGCCCTAAACTCCGAAAACACGATAAACCCAACCCCGAATCCCTACTAAACCTTACACCCTGCAACCCTGGAATCCACAAGGACAAGCAAGAGTGCTGCTTCAGTCCGGCGAAGTTATATCATGAGAAGCCGCCGAAATAAGCCCCAGACCCGAAGCCCGAACTCATGAGGGTTTCGAGGTTCCAGCTTTATCATGTGCAGGGTGTAGGGGTTTCGGGTTTTAGGGTTCCCGGGTTTGGGGATGCTACTACTCCTACTTCTACTGCTGCTACTTCAGCACTGCTGCTGGTGCTGCCACGTTGCAAAGGTACATCTGCATCGGCCTCTACCGCTACCACCACCACCACCACCGCCGCCCACCACTAGCATCATCACCACCACTCGCACGACCACGACCACCGCTACCACCACCACTACCCTCTCACAACATTAAATATTTCAGGTGGTTTGACTGCCCTGACACCAACTCAAACGGGAGGATGTCTCGTTTGGGTTCGTGGAAGGGTGTTTGGGGCGGTGGGTTTGGGCGGGAAAGGAGGGGAGGGCCCCCACAAACCCCCCATAAGGGTTTGCCTAGACTCACACGACTGCCGGCTGATGCTCATGATGCTAGGGTGGGTGGGGGGCACCACCCCCCCAGGACTCCAGGCTCCTTACCAACTTAAGGTGTCCGCCCTCGGACACCTTAAGTTGCAGAGTTGAGGGCCCCCACAAACCCCCCATAAGCCCCCCCTAGACCCACACGACTCCCGGCTGATGCTCATGATGCTGGGGTGGGTCGGGGGCACCACCCCCCCCAGGACACCAGGCTCCTTACCAACTTAAGGTGTCCGCCCTCGGACACCTTAAGTTGCAGAGTTGCAGGAGTGGACTACTACTACTACTACTACTACTACTACTACTACTACTACTACTACTACTACTACGACTACTACTACTACTACTACTACTACTACTACTAAAACTACTACTACTACTACTACTACTACTACTACTACTACTACTACTACTACTACTACTACTACTACTACTACTACTACTACTACTACTACTATACTACGACTATACTACTACTACTACTACTACTACTACTACTACTACTACTACTACTACTACTACTACTACTACTACTACTACGCTACGTATACTAGCACTACCTATAGCCAGTATTACTAATATTACTACTAGTACTATACTACTACTGCGACGACTACTACTGCCTTTACTACTGCTGGTACTACTAGTGTAACGACAACAACAACTACTACTATACTACCACTCCACTACTTCCACTGCTGCTAGTACTACTACTGCTACGACTACTGCTACTGCTACTGCTACTGCTACCGCTACTGCTACTGCTACTGCTACTACTACCACTACCACTACCACTACCACTACCACTACCACTACCACTACCACTACCACTACTACTACTACTACTACTACTACTACTACTACCACTACTACTACTACTACTACTACTACTACTACTACTACTACTACTACTACTACTACTACTACTACTACTGCTACTGCTACCTCTACTGGCTTCTACTACTATTACCACCACCACCACCACCACCACCACCACTACTACTGCTGCTGCTACTACTACTACTACTACTACTACAACTACTACTGCTAGTGACTGCCTCTGCTGCTGCTACCGCTACTACTGCTACTGTTGCTGCACCGCTTCGCTACTATTACAAGCTGCTGCTACTACTACGACTACGATGCTACTACGACTGGACACCAACAAATGGACTGTCCAAAATTTCGAAGAGCTTATAGATTATGGAGATCCGTGCAGAGAAGATGCAGTTGTTGCGATCTGTCCGATGGCATTGCCACCCACGACAGCACGGCAGCCGCATGAATTGGCGACCGCACTCGCGATAATCAAATGCATAGGTTTCTAGATTTGGAGGATCGGGGTCACATGGCTAGGGTTCTTTGATGATATCGATTGCAACGATAGCCAGAATTCGGGTCGTGTCTGTCGATCTAGATCCGAGTATGGTGGCTACCAACATATCTATCTGTCACGAGCTATCCTTGCTATGCAAACCCTATAATAATGCTACTACTTATAATCCTAAGAAAGCACGAAATCCCCCAAACATAGAGCCCCTCAGCCCAAAGGCCAAAAGCTTTCTCGACCGATCCCAACCTCTTTGAACCCGGGATCCTACACAATGGACCGCCCACGAGAACGTACACTTAAGAGGGTGGGTCAAGGTTTTTAGGGGTTGGGGCTGTAGGGTTTATTGTTTGGTTCAGCTAGTCGAGACCAAGGAACAAGACTGGCGATCGTGGGTCGCAGCCTGCCAGCACCTGGCTGTGAAAGCCGGGCCCGAGAAGTTGTGGCTTGTAAGACCATCCGGGTGAGGTTTTATTGATAACGGTTCCAAAGTCCATCCTCAGGCTATGTTTTGGGCGCAAATCCTGCCACAATGGTTCTACATCCCAAAAATAGTTGCCCGAGAAGGTCTTACAGTGCACAAGTCGGGGACTAGGCTACTATTTTTTTGGTTGCAAGGGTTCCGGGCACTAGCGGGCACGAGTGATGCCTGAAATAGCTGAAGCAGGGCCTCACGTGACTTCGCGTGACTTTTGGTGAAAAGGCCTTCCTCCTGAGGTTTTGCACGTGACTTTACGTGACTTCCGTGACTTCTGTGTTGCCCGTAACCGGCCCGTTGCTATCTAGCAAGCTTTGGCTGAAGCCTTTTAGGGCAAAGTGCCACGATGGCTCCCCGACCATCCCCAACCGCCCGGGACCGGCCTGGGCCGTACACCAAAGCCTCTTCGGTGGAGTCGCTGGCCTCTTGTTTGCAGGGCTAAATGCACCCAGCAACTGCAACAGTATGCCCAATAGTTTGGTTTTAGTTTGGATCTCCAGGGGTCAGCTAGCACCGGCTCCGTGGACGTGGGCCGAGAAGTTCGCGAGGCCTTGAAGCTAGGCAAACGAAGCCGCTTGAATACACATATGACTGTTCTATCGTTTGTGTCACAGCAGTACAGGTTGTGTCAACATGTATTGCCTCTTATCATGGCCCCAGGTTCTGTTGTTCCGAGCACGACCGAGCCGAAGCAGAGTCCCAGGATGCCAGAAGCACCGACTCAGAAGGAGACCGGTGCGACCCCGATCAAGAGCCCCCCCTCCAAGAAGACACGTGCTGATGGGAAGGACGACAGTGCCCAGCCCAGCAGCGAGCCCCGGAGTTCCCAAGGATCCCAGTCCTCGCCTTCGCAACGTTTCTATCGTCGCACATCATCATCCGGCACCTTGTCTCGCGAGTACCGAGGACCTCTTAGGCTAAATTCTCTATATCATGAAACTACGAACAACCCCTAAATTCTCTATATCATAAAACTACGAACAACCCCGAAGTCCTTTGAAGATCTGCAATGCAATCACCCCTGGCCGTTTGCATCCCCTGTGCCAGGCTTTGGTGGCTTCTACGGTTTGTATGGGTCGCTATCACTCATGCACGATAGATGTACGGGGCACATGCATAATCACCAATCGTGATCCCATATAGTATGTAGCTATAAGCTAGGTATAGACAAGAAAGTTAACCTTTAGTTCCCCATGATACCAGGCAATAGTAATAGCACTTATCATGATCTCCCAGGTCACCAGGTCAGACCTGCTATAGCTCTATCTAGATCTCCTATAACTAGCTAAGTAACATGGACCCATACTAAATTTAATTTATATATATGTTATAATTTATATTAGTATGGGTCCATGTTACTTATATATCTATCTAACATATGTACCAGACTTGCGAGCCCCCAGTACTATCTCTCTCTCTCTCTCTCTGCCCGTTTCTGTCTCTGTCTAGATCCGTCTGTGCATGTGCATACCCCCTCTTCATACATGGATTCTCATCTCAGGCAAGAAGGCGAATGCAACGGACATCGACCACCAGTCCACGATGACTTGGAGCCAAGGACGACCGGCTCTTGACGTGCGGGAGCCCCTCTACTTGCAGGAGTTTCTGGAGGGAGACTCATGGGACCTTATGTTCAGGGATGGGGATGGTGATGCGGCCCACTACTTTTCGGATGGGCTACGAGACTGGCAAGAGTTCTGCCTCAACGACTTTGTGCGGTGCATGGATGAGAAGGAACTCTTGGCAGAGAAGTGGATTCCGAAGCTACAGCCGGCACTGGAGGTTTGTAGAGCTACTCTCTTGAGGGCACTCAATTGCATCGACGAGCACCAGGCTTTCGTGGATTCCTACACATGGAAGAAGCAGGCGGCCGAGGCAGCCGCCAAGAAAATCATGGACGTCAAGAGAGGTGCTGAGGCCATGGAGCGACGACAGAAGGTCACTGAGCAGTGGCTAGCTGCTGAAATTGGCAAACTCGACGGGAAGGAGAAGGAGCTTCATGAGACAGCCGTTGCATCCGCCAGTGTGGCTGGTGCACAGCTGCAGAAATTCATGAAGCATCTCGACCGACTCGGAGCTTACTCGGCAACCTTCGAGGATGCCATGGAGGTGTGGCTGCAAAAAGATGCGGCTCAACGAGCAGCACGTGAAATTGTGATGAAGAAGACGGATGATGGGCCCTCGTCACCTTCTCTCCAGAACAGGTTCAGGGAGATCGAGCTGCAGGACACACTGGTGGACGTGGGTCTTGCTGAGGCTTACGGTTGCCTGCAGCTAGATGATTCGGCCAACATGGACAACCAAAGTAGCGAGCAGGACTTTTGTTATAAGTGTTGGGGCACGAGCCGCCAGAACTAGCTAAACTTATAAACCCTGTCCCAGATAAACCCTTTAAACCCATAAGCGCCCACTATCCCACAAACCCTCATAAACCCTAAAACCCTGAAACTCAGACAGACAAGCCGATGCAGGAACCGACGAAGTTGGGGCAGTGCAATCAGGATTCGTCTCTCCCGCTGCAACTCAGTGTTGATGGCTACAAGGGTAACCAGCTGGAGGCCGCTGAGAACAACAAGGACTGGGGTGAGTTGGGGCAAGGGATTCTGATTCATCTCTCCACCGTACCATGTAAATCCCATATATAGGCGCTTAGAAACCCTGAACCCTAAAATCTACATATTTGTAACCAGGGAACCGACGACGAGCCGAAGCAGGGCCCAAGTGAGTTGGGTCAATGCGATGATCAGGGTTCATCTCTCCCACAACAAGTCAGTGTTGATGGCTACAATGGTGACCAGCACGAGACCGACGACAAGAAGATGCAGGACCCGACTGGAGTGGGGCAGTGCGATCAAGATTCACCTCTCCCACATCCCGTCAGTGTTGACGGCTACAAGGGTGACCAGCAGGAGACCGAGGACAACAAGATGCAGGACCCGGCTGGAGTGGGGCAGTGCGATCATGATTCATCTCTCCCACATCCCGTCAGTGTCGATGGCTACGAGGGTGACCAGCAGGAGACCGACGACAAGAAGATGCAGGACTCGGCTGGAGTGGGGCAGTGCGATCAGGATTCATCTCTCCCACATCCCGTCAGTGTCGATGGCTACGAGGGGGACCAGCAGGAGACCGACGACAAGAAGATGCAGGACCCGGCCGGAGTGGGGCAGTGCGATCAGGATCCATCTCTCCCACATCCCGTCAGTGTCGATGGCTACGAGGGTGACCAGCAGGAGACCGACGAGAAGAAGATGCAGGACTCGGTTGGAGTGGGGCAGTGCGATCAGGCTTCATCTCTCCCACATCCCGTCAGTGTCGATGGCTATGTCTCGGACACCGATTCTGTTGTGGCTCTCGAAGATTCCTTTCTGGAGCATGAGCTTGGGAAGCTGATGTTGAAGGACTCTCTACTGTCTTGCTGTCGTCTTGCAATTAACAGGAATTTCTAGTACCTAATAGTAGCTATCCTGGAATTATAATATATTTAAAGATACTAGCGCTTAAGACCGCCTACATCGAGTAACATACCTGGGGGAACACTATATAATACTAGAGCTACATATGTGTATAAGCTTAAGTTACACACCGGTCCTTAGATAACTTCAACGAAGAAGCCCTTGATAGCATCTTGTGCCAGGAGCAGCCAGCCTCTCCGTCGCCAACGAAGATCACCAAGCAGGAGGTGCAAGCGACACCTGTTAGCAGTGCAGCAGAGCCATCTTCTGCTCCCGTGGTTTCGAGAACCCCGGTTGCGAGAACCCCAGTTGGTGGATGTCCGGTGGTCGGTGCTTCTGGGCAAAGGGCTTCGGTACCGGTACCAACTCCGGCACGAGCGGCACCCGCCAACGTGACTTCGTAGCAACTATTATTCTATTTTGTGCACCAGCTAGTGCAAGTATGGTGCAGTAGCAAATGCTGGGTGTTACCGAAACAGCCGTCTAGCTATGTTTGTCGAGGTGGTGAGGGCTGAGGAGGACGATGAGGACATCGATGGCCAGGAGGTCAGCGACATTGATCTTGTGGCTAAGCACAAAGCTCAAAGGCTTGCAAAGAACCAACGAATGCGATTCAACCGGACCTTTGAAGGATGCTTGCCTAATTCATTCAAGCTGGGCCTTAACCTGGGCTTGAGGATAGATGCATGTACGTATATTTGTACATACATGTGCCACACTGTCACGTGTTCCAGCTAGCTTTAAATTATCGTGAGGTCGTCGGATAACTATGTATCAGCATGCAACACAAGCCCTCACTAAACCCTCTTATCAGAAGCGAGCCCTAACTAAATCCAAGCCTCTCGAACTTAAAGAGTGTTGGGGTCAATCTTCAATTCCGTTCAAGCCACACTAGGCCCAACCAAACCCGAATTCGGATGATCCTAGAACATTACTCCGAACCCCGTACCCAAGCTTAGCTCAAACCTCTTGTCATTTTTACTGCTCGGACCCACCATGATTCCTCTAGCAAGGACTTCATAGCCGACGAAAGCCCAGACAACAACCCCACCTAAAGTCTCGCCTAGGAGGAGATGTCCCCGATTGTGTTTTGCAGAAGGCGATCGAGGGCAACTGGAGTTCCTGAGGGGCATTTTATCTCATGTCCGGATTCGGTTACATAAATATATTATTATATTAGTTAGATAAGGGTTCCGTAACATGTAGCTGCTGGCCGACATAGGTACAAAGGTGATGAAAGCACTCTTTGCACAGTTCAAAGACGCCGGGGAAAATTGGCTGTCCTCTGAAATTTACCTGAGCCACCAGCAAAGCAATGAAACTTTGAGGACAGGAGAACATCACTACGTGACACTCAAGGACCTCCGAAAGGAACATGGCGACACCAGAGCCGAAGAACTTGCTACCGACAAGCAGCTGAAGCAACAGACCCTTGGAGACTATCTCCCTCGTGTGCCCTATGTGATGAGCCACCCGGATTGGCCAATGGACAAGGCCAGGAGGCTTAGCAACCGAGATTTTCGCACCGATAACCCTAAACCCTCAAGCCCTAAAGCTCAATGTGCAAAGGCTGCTTGATCACAAAACTTAAATAACCTAGGATGATAGGCCATATCACCTGTCTACATAGGGCTTGATATATAGTCCTGTAAACCCTTAATAATTAATCATATGCCCTGATTAACCCGAGCCCTTTAAAGGCAACCAGCCCGATAGCCAACCCCGGCAGGAGATGGTGATGTACCTGGTCTTTAAGGCGGGGTCGGTGAAGCAGAACGACAACGACATCAACACCAGCTCCATGCAAAGTGCAGGGAGTTTGAGTGCAAAGCAGACTCGCCAAGTGATGTCACTAGACTGATCATGATGATACAAAGGTTATCATATTTTATCTCCAAAACCCGAAGCCCCGAATACAATTGCACTATATGTGGAAGATTATCAATACTCAGGTCCGCCATGGAGAGCGGCATCCCCGGAGATGCCTTTGGTCGACCTGCCGCAACCCGAAACAATCCTTTGAACAGGCAGCTGTCTTTGGAAAGTCTAGGTGGTCGACCTGACAAACCAGAGAAGAAGGAGAAGAAGGAAAAGAAACCTAAGGCCCCCAACTTTGCCGCCAAGGGCCACTCCAAAATCAAGGAAGCACGGGCAATGGACACTGATGCAAAAGTGTGGACTAAGAAGATTGAGAGTGAGCAGACAAAAACTGGTGATGATGCGAAGCTGCTACTTGTCTAATCCGATAGCTAGACCCTAAACCCTCATCGAACCCTAATAACTTATAAGGGCCATGTGTCGGTATGTTGAAGTCCAAGCCGGTAGCCACGAAGCCGAGGTCGCCTGAGATGTGTTCTGGCTATCTGAGCCAGATTACCTTCATGCTTTCCGCAGTGCAAAGGCACACCGACATCTTGGAGACAAAGCTAGTGGATGGGGAGAAATCCCAAGAGATCCTTGAACCGCTTGTCAATGCTCTTGACAAGACAATGAACCAGTACCAGACCGGTATGCGAACCATCAAGAGCACTTTCGCGACTAGGTTGCAAACCTAAGCTACTAACCCTACTTACTGACCTGCCCGCCCCCCCTAAATTCTAAAATAACTTCAGGCCTGTAGGTTCATAGTCGCCTTCGGTCGGGGGCCAAAAGCGCGGGATGTAGGGGTTATGGGTTGCAGCTGGAAGCCTTGATGCATATGCCCAATAAGCCGTTATCCCACCCTCAACCTAAACCCTAAACCCCCTAAACCTTAAACCCCCCCCTCCCCAATAAGCCGATAACCCACCCCCAACCCAAACCCTAAACCCCTAAACCCCTAAACCTTAAACCCCCCCGGGCCCTAATAAGCCGTTAACCCACCCTCAACCTAAACCCTAAACCCCTAAACCCCTAAACCTTAAACCCCCTAATAAGCCGTTAACCCGTGCTAACCCTATATAGCGAAACAATCCAAGCCCAGGCTGCACCCGCGACCAAAAGCAAGGCGAAGGGCAAGGCCAAACCGACGGCTAAGCCGGCGGCGGCCGCCCCGTGATTTGTTGAATGCTGTCAGGGAGCATTCGATGCAGCTGCGGTGTCTCCAGTGCAGCAGTCCTTAGATGGCTGGGTTGGGCTCTTTTCATAGATAGCTAGGTTAAGATCTAGTCTTGCTTATATTGGTGGCCCTTCTACCGACGACTTAGACCCAATACCAAAACCTACCTATAGGTCTTTTCTGAGCTAGCTGGGTTGAGATCTTACTTGTTTTAGTGCAGCTTAATGCCGACCTAGACCCAGTAATATCTAAGCCTAGATCAGCCTGTTCGGACTGCCTTCTGGCTGGAACTTTTGACTGCAGCGGTGCAGTAGCATAGCAACTTGCGGATTTCAAGGTCTGTAGGCCCTCCGTTCCACTCACGGGCATGGGGATCCTGTGAAAGCACGGGCCTTCAAAAGCGGGTGAGAAATGATGTGGGATGTCGCTTGTGCACGTTGACTGGTGATTGCATGTAGGCCCTAGCTCTGATGATGGATAAAGCAGGATGCTGCACTAAGCGAGTCGTTTGGAGGCTTGACGGGGAGATCCCAGCTATGCGAAAAGCTCAAGTCCATGATCAGCTGTGGAGACACTGTGCTGCAGATCAGGCTGAAAACCGTGGCACTTACACATGTACTGTATCGTACAATATATACGTGTGTGTTCAGGCATGTATGTACATGCCTGCATGCCTCCATGCCTGCCAGGAATTATCCTATGCTGCTGCACGGAAGATTGCTGATGCTGCCGTCCAGGATGTCTTAGCTGTCTTAGCTGCAATAGGACATGTTCCCATTCGCATGATGGTTGTACGAATTGGAACTGGAATTGGAACCGAAGGAGATTCGCGGCCTCGGATGCCGACCCCGAGCTCCACTGTTGGATCTCGCGAGTGCTGGTGCTTTCGGTGCTCATGAGTCCAACATTGAGAGGGATGTTATGCGACGAGCTTTCAATGATGCAGCTGCTTCACAGCATGTATTACCACCGCGATCTAAGGGTAGTGTTGCTATCTCTATGCGGGTCTATGTTCGTTGCAATCCGAGGTGCCCATCCACTACGTTCCGGTCCCACTGCGGGTCCGCGATCCAGCCACCAAGAAGTATGGCAAGAAGATTAGGAGTCTTGATCGCATGCAGTTGCAATTGATCTTATACTACATCTAGATGTACGTATGCCATGCCATGTGCACAGTAGGCATGCTCAGCATTTTAAGTGTGAGGCTGATGCCCATGGTGTTACCTCATGATCTGCTGGCCTACTTGCACAACAAGTCTGGGGGGGAACACACACCTGCTGAAGAGTTGCGGGCCTTTTGGCAACATTTCCAGACTTGTACACATGAGAGCATCAAATGGCCGCATTGCTACGAAGATGACTGCACACCACTCGGCCTTCATGGCGACGATCTACGGTATACTGAAAGTGGCCAAAAGCTTCTTTGTGTTAGCTTAAACTTTCTTTTGGACGGTGCCCAAGAAAGATACCCCCTCTTTGTTGTCCGGATCGTGTCTCGGCCTAGTTAGTGGCTTTGGCAGTTATTACTGTTAGCCCTAAGCCCTATCTATAAACCCTAGCTAGGCCTAGCTATAACTACATAACCCTCAAGCCCTAAAAGCGCTAGGTAAGCCCCTAAAACCCGCACCATCCCAGGCACTGCATGCTGGCTTCGACACGAACGAGGCCTACATGAAACCGGTACTTTGGAAGCATGCAGTTACCGCATGTACAGATATGGCAGCAAGTATAGGAGATTCAATTTCGACTCGCATTGAACAACCAAGTTGGCATGCAGCTTGAACTATGCTCGATACGGTGTTTCGCCGCCTCGATTCTTGGAGCCCTGCCTGAACCCTGCCGATGTGGCAGAAGATATCCGAGCGAATGGATTTTCGAAAAGCTTTCCTCCAGCTGGACTGGTGGAAATCAGAGCCGACTGGAAGTTCATGAAAGAACTCTTCAATTTGAAAACCGGATACACCTCGGCCCAGATCTGTCACCACTGTTTCGCACATGATACGGACTACTGTTCTTTCCCGGCCGACTTGCACAACAAACCGATGCGAGATTTGCAATCCTTTATAAGCATCTGTGGGAAGGACAGTGCTGGGAATCGATGCGGCACGGAACCAATTTAGTACTCAAGATCTTTCGTTTTCAAGATGCATGTGCAGGTTCGGGGCTGCACATGGTACACATCCAAGGCAGCCTCTTGCTTGTCGAGGGGTTCGACCCTCGAATTTGCAAGTGGTGTAGCCTGCACACGTTGAACCTCGGTGTGGCTTTGTGGGCTTGCAGTTCGACGATCATTGAGCTCTTGCAGTTTGAGGCGGGTTAATTCCAACTCCCTCGCTTTTCGCAACATCGCGAGCATCATGTGCATCGCTCTATGCAGGACGTGTGGCCTGCAGTTGCTGGCACCCCGGCAAAAAACGTCCTGGATGTTCGGCTTCATGTGGCTTACACCGAATTTCAAGCATGGGCGAAACGGATGAAGATCGAGTCTGCTGCTGCAGTTTATCAGGCTTTTGTGGTGGTGAGATGTGCATGGATTTTTCGGTCAAGCGGTTGAGACCGCATCCGAGGCATTCGCAGCCTGAGTTTACTGCAAAGGGCCTTCGCGATCTGAAGACTGGTGTTGCCGAACTTTCTGCTAAGGGGCACAATGTCACTGGTCTAGGTCAGTATGTTGCTGTGAAATCTGCAGGTATTCTATTTTGCTCGACTTTTGCAATTTCAACGACTGATCATGCTGAGGCTCGTGTGGTGGTCGGGTGGTTGAGCTACAAGGTTTGTTCGCTGCTGGGGGTCATGAAAAATGACCTCGCTGGGCCCGAGCTTGAGCACTTCAACAACATGGTGAAGTGTATGCACCCTGGGTTGCGATAATAAACAAGGCCATTTGCATGATTCAGTGCAAACGAACTAGCTTGGCAGGTATTGGTTGGGCGAATTTTTCAACCTCATGGAAAAGTTTCCTCGCTTCTTAGACTGGGATCAGCGACGAGCCTTGATCGAGGCGTGTGTGGCTTGTCTTAATATCAATCAGGAGCTATGCTCTATGCAAGTCCATGATCCCGTCATGATTCATGATTGATCAAGGACAAATGCTGTGCACCCTATGCTATGCTTGCCCAGAGGGCCGCTCAGTCTGGGCAGCTTCTCTGGGTCTTGCGACCAAAGCATCATGAGCCTCTTCTTAACCGAATATTTGTGCTCAAAGCCACTAGCAGCGATACTTCAATGTGACTTCTTTCGTCCCAGGGGTGGCAAGAGATTGCCTTTGCGGCCTATCTGGACGGTCTCTTGTATGCATTTCTGGTTTGATGACATGTCAACCGAAGCCTTCAGCAGACAGCTTTGCAAGATCCTGGAACAAGGTCAGAACCCTCGCTATTCGCATACGTTTCGGGATGAGTCATTTATGTCCACGGCGAAAGCAATCGCTCAAGTTTGTCACAGAAAGACGCTTGAAAGCTCTTTCTTGAAACGTTACTACATCGAGAGCTGAAGCAAAATGGGCATCCGATTGCATGTGCTGTTTAACAACATCGTCAGAATGGAATTACGACACATGTTGATCTCCAGCCCGGTCTTTGGGGAAAGTGCCTTGTCTGAAGTACCTTTGGAGCCTCTGGGTTTATGTTAATATTATATGGGGCCTATAAACAGACCCCATGACTCCTAGTGCAGGGGATTGGCGTGCTTCGGTATCTCTGCGTATGGGTGCCTGGGGCTTGCGGTTTAGAGCTTAGGGCTGTTTGCGGGGCGCTAGGGTGTGAGGCTTTGGGTTCATGGCTGTCGTCCAAAGATCGGGTCCGAGCCCGCTTTCAGTGTCTGCTTGTTAAAGTCTTTGTTAGGAGCGGGGGTTCTACGGTTTATGATATAAATCCTGCATTACCCTGAAGACCCTAAACTATGGGAATTATGGTATATTCCTTATTTTGGGTCATGCAGGATTCATATGATCAACCGTAGTTCAGGGTTCAGGGATTTAGAATTCAATGCTTGCTATGAATAACTGCTTCCGTCACCTTGGTAGTTTGACGTGAGCACCGTAAGCGAACCTAGTAAAGCCTAAACCCTTGTCTAACCCTCTGGAACCGGTGAAACCGTATATAAATCCTGTAAAAGCCCGATAAATCCATGAACCCTTTTTGACTCAGCTTTCAACAGAAGCCTAAACCCTAAACCCTACATCCTAAACCCTAAACCCCAAACCCTAAATCCTAAACCCCAAATCCTAAACCCTAAACCCTAAACCCCAAATCCTAAACCCTAAACCCTATATATCCCTTAAAGGAGCCCTTATGGATCCCTTTGAAGGAACCCCTAAACCCTGCACCCTAAAGCGTGCACCGAGCATCGCACAGGGTTCATGTCTGAGATAGGGCTGGCGGTGGCAATGTTCCCCGCCAGCACTGCCACCTCAGAGCTTCGAAGCTCTGGCTCCACAAGGAACACTACAGGATTTTATAGACGGGTTCTATAAGGAATTCTATCGGATTCTATACGAAGTTCTATGGGATTTTGTTATGAAGATCTAATAAGGAACTCTACAGTAACTTATTGGGATCTCTGCGGAGATGCATGAGGAACGGTTGATGATATAAATCCTGCATGACCCACAATAAGGAATAGACCACAATTCCCATGGTTTAGGGTCCTTAAGGTAATGCAGGATTTGTATCCTAAACCCTCAACCCCCTATAGACCCCTTAAAGGAACCCCTTAAAGGTACCCTTATATCATCAACCGAAGTTCTTCATTTCGGGTCCAAGGGTTCGAAGTCTCCGGGCTCAGAGCTTGGCTATTTCTGCAATCAGATCTCCTGGGTTTCAGGTCTGGTTTAGGGTTTTTTTTTTTGGGCGTAGGGTTTAGGGTTCAGAGTTCAGGGTTTAGAGTTTAGGGTTTAGGGTTTAGGGTTTAGAGTTTAGGGTTTAGGGTTTAGGGGTTTAGGGTTTAGGGACCCTTTAACAGACAGCTTCCTGGCTTGGGGAAGGAAAGCTTCGCTTGTCATGAAACTGAAGTCCTTCCCTGCCTGCCGTTGAGGGTTTAGGGGCTTAGCGTTTAGAGTTTAGGATTTAGGGGCTAGGGGTTTAGGGGTTATGGGTTACGGTTTAAGGTTTAGGGATTTAGGGTTCAGGGTTTTGGGAGGCAAGCAACTTCAAGAGGAGAACTGCCTGGACCCTCAAGAGCCTACCTTTAGGGTTCCTCACTATGATTCCCTTGTATAAGTTGTTGAAACGGTAGGTTCTTCAGGCTCCGACTTATGAAACGAATCAGACCGATTCTACAACCCACACCCACCTACACTCCGAATCTTTAAAAGACGAACGGTCTCGGGAGTTTGGGGGTTTGAGGATTGGGATCTAGGGATCAGGCCTTGGGGCCAACACGCGATGTAGAGACAGTGCCGTAGTAGATCCCTTACTGGGGGGTTCCTATAAGGCAGCCTTAAGGTAAAAGCCAGAAAGTTGGAATATGATTATCCTAATCCCTTTATGGTAAATTATAAGGTTTCCTGCCCTGAAACCATATTCCAACTTTCTGGAGTTTCCTATAGTAGTATTGGGCCCCAAATTAGGGGATCTACTTCTAGCTCCTCCCGGGGGTCCGGGTTAAAAAGAAAAAAGTGCCCTCCCGAGGCCCGCAACGTTTCGGATCTGCGCGCTGGCGAACCATCGCAGCATGTGGAGCATGGCCTGGCAAATCTCTGGTAATAAATGAGTTTCAGTTTCAGTTCAGTTTTAGTTTCAGTGGGGATGGTTATGAATGAATAAACAAGTATGGGTAGTAATAATGGTGATTAGAGTAATAACCACACTATTAATGATAGGAAGAATAAGAGGATATCCATTCTCGAAGTGGAGACTCGAGGTTTAGACTATACAATCGGCAGCTACGGCAAGAGTTCGAGCTTCTTCGAGCTCGCCGAAGGAACCCTAAACACGCGAGGGCTCGAGGTGTAGAGACTATCCGGAAACGTCCGAATCGAATCCTGGCTACTGTTATTGCTCAAGTAATACTTACAATGAGAAAGCGTCATAAAGCGCTCATGGCTCAGCATTCTGACGAGCTGTCCCTCGGTCGTCCACTGTAGGAGAACTAGAAAAGGGGTATGTTTCGGCTAGCGACTTTATGTTCATACAAGCCTGTAGATTAGGATTTCTGGGACTAGGTGTGGAGCGTCGGGCATTTACCCGTGCCTAGCCCCAAACCCTAGACCTGCACTTCTAAACCATCTACGGCTTTAGGGTTTCAAGGCTTACTTGAAGGATCAGGCAGGTCACAAGTAGGGCCAGGGTTTCGGGTCTGGGCCCTGCAGCCCAAAACTCATAACAATCTAGCTCTAAGGTAAATCCTTGATGCCACCATTTGCATCGCTTAGCCCTACACCCCAACAAAACCTCAACCCTGCCCTAACATCCTCAATGACTCAACCCTTACAAGCCCTAAACCCCAAACCCTCAACCTGAATGTGTAAATCCTAAACTCTACTTAGAGGATCATGGGACTTAGTAAGTAAGGTTATAAGTAACTGAACTGGGGTTATGAGTATAGCTACCTTACTTATAACCCTTGTTACTAAGTCCCATGACCCTCTAAGTAGACCCTGAACCCTTATACCTTCATCGGAGCCCCGGACACGGCGCTTTTGCAGCACGCCGGCGTATCATCGAAACGCGAAGCAAAGCCGGGCCGATTCAGCGTTTAAGGCTTAGGCTTCGGGGTTTAAGGTTTAAGGGGCTCCTCACTATGATTTAAGGCACATTGCCATGCATTCAGTCTCGACTTACCTAGCTCCCGGTGCCGCGTCGTAGATAAAGTCCGTCAGTGGATTTCCCAGCACGTTGGCCGGATCGAGCTTCCTCGGGCTTACGGTGTTAGGATTCAGAGCTCATGGTTGAGGTGTTTTGTATTTCAACGGGGAAAAGGAGGGACCCTTAATGGGGACCCCTACCCTATAATGGGCCATATACTCGGTATATATTAGCTATGTCAAGGGTATATACCTAGGTTTACCCTTGGAGCATGGCACCGGCAGCACTGACCTCCGAAAGGCTTTCATCACCGATCTTACATGCTCGCCGGTGTCGCTGGCAGCACATGGGAGTTTTCCGAAAATTGGGGGGGGTACCTTATCTTGGTGTCCTTAAAATAAGGGTCTTACTCTTTAGGGGACTATCTTAGGGTCCCCTATTTTCGGGAAACCCCCATTTGATTACTCTTCACCGACATCCTTGACAGTCTCCTTGTCGTCATCATCGCTACCAAGGGCCATAGTCACGCCATGACCCCCACCACCATCATGCTCAACAGGGTTTAGGGGTTTAAGATTTAGGGTTTTGGGCAGCTTCACAATCATCGTCATTGTCAGCATTAACAACAACATGGCCAACTCCACCACCAGCACTGTCGCACAGCAGCAGCAGCAGCAGCCGAAGCAGTAATTAGTTGTAGTCTATGATTGAATATTTCAAGGTCTCAACAACCCTCAGACCCAAAATACTACATCAAAACCCGTGAACCCTAGACCCCTAAAACTGAAACCGTAAACCCTAAACCCCTAAAACCCTAAACCCCTAAACCCTAAACCCCTAAAAACTGAAACCCAAAACCCTGACACCCAAAACACAAACTCTCTGCAGCCGGGAATCTCCTTCAGCTTGCGGAAGTATCGTAGGTTAAACCTTGGCTTCTCGGTTTAGGGTTTAGGGTTCAGGGTTGTGGGACTTAAAGTTTAGGGCTTAAGGTTTAGGGTCAGGGTTTAGGGTTTTGGGGCTTTTCGATTTTTTGTGTGCTCCTTTTTCCAGTCGCCTGAAAGGGTGTTAGGCTGGCTTTTCGGTTTAGGGGGTAGGGTTTAGGTCCAATAACAGGAGTTTGGGAACGCTGTAAGGGAACCCTATTCTACAGTACGGAGCCTAAGACCACAAGAAGGGAAAAAGGGCGCACTGAAAGGCCCGATTTCAATCCTTGGGGATCAGGGGTACTCGGTTGAGGGTTTGGGTTTTGTTTGTTGAACTCCTTCTGTTTTTCCAGGGGGCGGCAGTCTGCAGCATCTAGAAGGCCAGAGGGTTTGGGGTTTATGGTTTAGGGTTTAGGACCCACTCAGTCGCCAGGTTCTGGGCAGGATTTCGAGGAATCCTACGTACTAAGTCCAAGTAGGGTTCAGGAGTATTCAGGGCTTAATTAGTACTCACAGTTATAAGCTGCTGCAATCTCTGAGGTCGACCTTGCGAGGACACCAGAGTCTACTCCTCTACGCGATAAACCAAAACGAAGCTGGCAAACTGCAAGCGCACATTTCAGACAAAGCCACTTTCGCGCAAGCCTCGGTGAGCATTGCTTCAGTCATGCTTGGAGGATCATGGGACTTGGTAGGAGAGGGTTACAAGTACCTTCATGAAAGTTATAAATAACCGTGAGTATAGTTACCTGGTCAATAACCCTGGTTACTGAATCACATGACCCTTTAAGTACATGGGTGGTTGTCGAAACTATGGTTCCTTTTGGGGTGCCTACTATATTACGGCACCTATTATTTAGGGTATCCAAAAAGGGACCTTAATTTTGACAACGACCCACATCCTCACTAGGGCTTGGGGTTTAGGGTTTAGCGCAACCTCAACCTGGGAGCTGCACCTAGAGAGCTAAAAGTCTCCAGAAACACTGTCATACGGCTGGTGATCTAAATCCTGCATTGCCTTCAATGACCCTAGACTATGGGAATGATGGTATATTCCTTTTTATGGGTAATGCAGGATTTACATCGCCAACCGTAAGTTTGCTGTGGAAAGGCGCTTTCTGTCTCCGCGAAGGCACTGTCTTTAGGGCCTAGTGCCGATAAGATCGTATGAGGTGTACCCAGAGAGCCCAATAACCCTTAATTAAGGAATAAAGCTTAAAGCATAATGTAACCCCCCTTATAGTTTCAGATATATTCCCTAATTAAGGGGTATTGGGCTCTCTGGGTACGTGATCCGGATCCCGGCTGAGATATTTCGGTGCAGGGATGAGAGTTTCAGAGTTTGTCAACCGGGCATGACCATACTGTAAACTGCAAGCTGTAGGTGCTCGATAACAGGAAATGATGCACTTCGGGCCGGAGTGTTGTTGCTTGTGCCTTCATGCTATAGGCTTGAATGTAGACATACAGATACTTGTATAAATACTAGTTACTAGTACAGGTGTACATACATGTACACATGAATACAAACACCTGCAGCCACGCAGGCAGGCAGGCAGGCAGCAGGCAGAGAGGTTTTGGGTCCTACGGTCTGGGCCGTTTACGGTTTAGGGTTCAGGGATTTAAACTTTCGGGCTTCAGCACGTTTTTCTTTGAAAGTTTAGGAGATCCCAAAGGTTAAAGGAAACTGTGAAACCAGTGAGATCAAATGAACTTTACTCTCAAACTCTCTGGAGGCCTTTAGGAAACCCCCGTACCTAAAAAGCACGGTTTAGGGTGTCGGGTTTAGGGTCTAGGCTTTAAGCTTAGGGTTCAGGGTTTAGGGTTTAGGGTTTAGACGCTCTATTTCACTGACAAGCAAACAGTAGCGCAAACCCTACCAGGACCCAATGTTGTCAGCTGCAGGTTCAGAGCATCCCAAAGTTTACATAGGGTCTTAATCATGAGAATCGGGCTTTGGGATATGTAGTAGCAACGATTTAAGGGTTTAGGGTTTAGGGGCCCCCTATATTCACCAGGACTCTGCAATGAAGGCCCAGCAACTGCTCTCGCAGCACCGCGCGTGCTGCGGGTCCCTCGTGGAAGGTGAGATCCACCTCAAAGCTCAGGGCACGTGGCGAGGGGAGGAGGGGTTGGTTTTGGGTCTGAGAATTAAGGTTTAAGTTTAGGGCTTTGGGCTTAGGCTTTAGATTTTAGATTAAGATACCAGTAGGAGGGCTTAGGAGGGTGCTCAAGAGATATTCATTGGGGTCTAGGAACCTTGAAAGGGGCTGTTGCAACGCTAGACCCTTGGCCCGGAACCTGCAACCTCAAACTCAAACCACAACCAGCGCCCTCATTGCGCTACCCGGATACGTCATGCAACATGCACTCATTAGCAGCCATGCGACACATATAGGTCTGTGTATGTTTTTGTGTTTGCGTGCAATAAGATAAGAGAGCAAGCCAGCAAGCGTGCAAGCAAGCAAGCAAGAAAGCAAGAAAGCAAGAAAGCAAGAAAGCTAAAAAGCAAGAATGCAAACACTGGCAAAAACACAAGCATGCAAGAAAGCACAAAAGCAAGAAACATACCTCCGCTCGCCGGCGCATGAACCCTGAAAACCCAAACCTTGCGTTGCATCGTTTTGCTCAAACATCCCCTGGGTCTGGCACCGAAAACCCTAAGCCGCCGGAGCCCACACAACCAGAGAGCCCAATACCCCTAAATTAAGGAATATGGCTTAAATCATAATATGAGCCCCCTTATAGTTTAAGGTATACTCCTTAGTTAAGGGCTATTGGGCTCTCTGGGCAAGCCTGTATCCCTGACCTTCGAAGGCAAAGAACCCCGGAAACCCTCAAACCTTCAAAGCCTGAAACTGCAAAACCCTACAAATCCCCCACGGTTTAAGGTTTAGGGTTTAGGGTTTAGGGGTTAGGGTATAAACTTGGGCAAAGACCCCCAAAAACTCTAGACCCCTAAACCCAAAACCCTGAACCCTAAACCCTAGCCCTACACCCTGAAAACCTGAGAGG